GGGTCCTCATTTCACCCACCTCGGAAGGATGGAAGGCTGAGTCAACCTTGAGCCGGTGAGATTTGAACCGCCGAACTGCAGATAGCAGTCGGCTGAAGTGGTCTGCAGTACTGAACTCTAACCACTGCGCCACCTCGGCTCTTTTTATGTATGTTAGCGTATTCAAAGGTGTTTGTTATTTTGGTAGTATGGAATGTTGGGACAAAGAGAAAGAAAGAGAAGAAGTTTAGTGATTTAAAAAAACAGGAAAAAAAGATACTATAATAACAACAGAAAAGGAAAGGAAGACATTTAGAGAATGGGGTAAAAGTTTGACTAGAAAGAAATGGAGTTTCTTTTAAAAGATTAAAAGGGAAGGAATGAAAAAGACCAATAGTGATAGGAAGGAAGAAGGGGAACAAGGTATATATTAATATATTTAATGGAATTGTATAAATATTATTAATTGTTGTTGGAGTAAATATGAAGGTGTCATTTGACATGCACCAGCAGATGAATGAGAAATGACTATTTGGTTATTGTTAAGGATAAGTTTAAAATGTGAAAATGTATTGGAAATGTATAAAAAAATGGATGGGGAATTTGAAAATACTCCTAGTGATGATAAATAATTGATGTTATAATAAGAGATTAGAAAATTATGGGTGTTTAATGGTATTAGCTATGTGATAATATTATGATGATAGTTGGAAATGTACATATGATTTAAAACTATATGAAATGATGTTTGACCCGGCCCGCACTTTGTTCAAAAAGTATGTATTTGGGGCGGGGGGGGGGGAGAAATAATAATGGAATTGTTATATATGTTTACATTTAAAAGAAGGATGTATATCAAATTACTCATATGAAATATGACTACTGGAATGTGACTATTAATACCATCAATATTAAATCGAGTCTGCTCGGATGCTAACATACACCATATGAGAAATAACTACATTTGTACAACAACGGGGAGATGAAGTAGAGAGAGGAGTAGAGAAGAGTGGAAGGGAGGAAGGGAGAGGAAAGGAGGGAAAGAGAGAAAGAAGAGAGGGGGTAGGAGAGGGGGAAGAAGAGGTGAGGAAAAGAGAAGGAGAGAGAGAAGGAGAGGAAAGAGTAGAGAGGAGAAGGAGAGAGGAAGGGAGTGGGAGAGAAGGAGAGGAGGTAGGATTGTTGTAGAACTAGGTATAATATGGTGTGGAAAGCAGAAGAGCAGATAGAGGTGTTGGTGATGATGAGAGGAACTGATATAATATTGGATAATATATAATAGTGTTTGTTGAGATGTAATGGTATACTTGTGTATATTTATATGAAAATGAAAATAAAAAAAAAACTTTTCAAAAGAAAAAAGAAAAATGCAATCAACAATTATACCTTTCCTTCCGCAGAATCCTCGTCCAGATTTCTCTGTTTATCTTTGGTAAGTATTAATTCAGATTTCCACCATCTTGTTAATCATGTTTTTATTCTGCGCTGTCCTATGAAGCGTGAATGCTTTTGATTTGCCTAGCTGGGTTCAACTTTGGGGGATGGATCTATGCCGATATTTTCAACTACATTCAGTATACAGTACTTTTCCACTGCAGATAGATATGATGCAGTATTTGCTCTGCGAATTTCCCAAGTTTGCTTTTAAATACATTTCCCAACTACATAATAATCAGAGGTGGGTTCCTACCAGTTTGCACCTATTCGGTAGAACCGGTTCGTCAAATCTACCGAACCGGTTAGAAGAGGTTCCACCAGTGGACCCGGAAAGCAGGCCACACCTGCTTTGAAACCCACCACTGATAATAATGTAGTATTACCCCTTGTGACATTGTCAAATAAGCGTATATTAGGGAGAAGAACAGTGGGATGTGGTGGCT